TTTTCACCCTTTACAAATCATATTTTCTTTTTAACTATTTGAAGGTAGTGTGTGCCATGACCAATATACATGCATTACTGATTTTGTTACAAGAAACAATTCCAGGTACTCAAGAGACACTAGCATAAAGGTTTAGATAAACAGGCCTTAGTTCTAAGAAAGACTTTATAGATTTTTAGTTTCAGTTTTTGTTGCAGGACCTGACCTTGGAACTACATGGAGGAATGCTTATCTTGCTCATTGTTCAGCAGGGAAATTATAACATAGAATATTATGTTTGGGGACAAATTTCTGTCAGAACACTGTCAAGTGCAACTTCCTTGTCCCTTTGACAAGGAGTTATTGCCCTGTTGGTGCAAGGTCAGCCTACATGTCAGTTTCTAGACTCTTGATGTCTGGACATACATAAGATGGTCTGTTGTGAATCACCTCTGGCATATCATGACTGTTATATGTAAATTGGCAAATACTCACTCTTAAAGCTATTTTTGCTGTGAAATAAAGCATATGCCATTCTCTGAAACAATCTCTGGAGGGGTTTCTCCATGCCCTCAAGCTCCCACAGTAGATGTTGGAAGGGCAGGCCCTTCAGCATTCTGGTGCTCAAACATTGTATAATCAGGTGATTTTGCTTGAGGGATCCCTGGCCATAAGGAAATGCAAAGCTCAAAACATAAGCAGTCAGGGCAATGGGTAATTTACCTGGTTAACATAAACATGCTCATCTACTAATTACTCAACAGCCTTTAAATTCCCAGGGTATAAAAGTAAACTATGAGGAATTAGAAACTTTTTGGCAAAATTTTTTAGCTACAAATCCATTGTTTCCTTTGGAAGGAATATTCAATACCGATGTCTGGTGACCAAGTGGCTCTGAAAAATGCTCCTCAGCAGGAGTAGCAAACACATAAACAAGCCTCAAACTTCTTTTATGTTATTTTGCTAGCTGTTAGTGGCTCACTCTGGGTGGAGAAGAGATTGCAGCAGTGGCCCACTGTTGTTTGGGAGAGACAGCTATCGCAAGAGAAGAGTAGAAGGAAAATGGGGAAAGCTAACGAGAACAAAAGATAGTGAGCAAGAGGAGGGTAACACAGATGTAGAAGAAAAGGGGTTTCTGATATGAGATGTTGAGATTTAAGTAGAAATGAAGAAAGAACAGGAGAAAGAATGTAGAAAGAGCAAGGAGTCTTCTCTTTGGCTATAAGCTCTTATATTTTTCTTTTTCACAGATGTTGCAACAGTGCCATATAGAGGAGTTGACTCTTTCTTCATATATTAAATCAAGCTGTACCATGTCAGAGATGCCGATGTTAGGCTTAACATAAGGCATGAAAACCAGTTCTATTATTTGTCAATATTATATATTCCAGGCCTTGGTGCCTTTCTTCAAGGTACCAGACCTCATGATTATACATTATATGGATGACATTATTTTAGCCCACCCCTCTGCACAAGACCTAGACTCCACCTTCCAACAAGTCCAATTAACACTTAAAGAAATTGAATTAAATAGAGCTCCAGGAAATGTTCAAAAATTAGCCCATTTTCACTTTTTGTGAATCATTTATTAACTCTTGCAGAGATCTTAGTACAGGCTCTCAACATTTACATAAAATCTCTCATTATATTAAATGATTTACAAAAGATTTTAGGAAACAGAAATTGGCTTACATTTCAACAGGTTCTTTGAAGGGCTCTACCTCCTCTGTTCCAATGTTTGGAGAATTATCTATATTCTTTGTCTTTAAGAAGATTAACTCCTGAAGCTTACAAAGCCTTATAAGAGGTTAATAATCAGCTTGCCAATTTGCATCTTAGCCAATGGGATCCTGACAAGGACATTATTACTATAGTTTATATACCTCACTTATTCCCACTGGTCTTCTTTTCCAGGAATAAAGTAGCCATTTAGAATCAGTGCATCTTTCTGCTGCTTTTTCTTTCAAAATTACCCCCAAATTAGTATGTTTTGTCTAATGGTATTCCAACTACACATTAGGACTCTTCAATTATTTGGTCTAAAACCTGATAAATTTGTCTTGCCATTAATTAAACAGGAAGTAAACCTCCATTTGAAAAATAATATCCTGTTTCAACATTCAATTATGACTTTTTCATTGGTTAATCATTTACTCATTGCAAACCTATCCAAGATTTATTTGATAAAACAGTTTATTTTTTAAAGATAATTTGTGATAAACAAATTCCTGGAGCTGACCTTATCAGTACTGATGCCAGTTATTCTGGTGGTCTATTAATTCTTATTTATAATCTTACCAGGAATGAGTACAAAACCTGAACTTACAAGGAGCTACCTGCCTCACCCCAATTATTAGAGTTACAGGCAGCCACTTGGGTCATTGAACCTAAGTTACTGATAGTGTTTATTGTGCGTAACTTATAGCCAGGTTTCCCTGTTTCTTTATTAAAGGGAAAGCAAAATCAGCTTTGGATATACTCCTTCTTTCTTCTCAAAGAGTGCTCCAAAAATATACTAACTCACTGTTCATCACTCATATCAGAGCTCTTATGTTGAACCCAGAATGCAAAGCAAAGCCCACTGATGCTAATTCTAAACCAAATTAAAACAAGCTTATATTGAGTTCACAAGAGAGCTGATCAGTGAATTGCCTCACCCAAGAGTAGGGCAAGAGGACAGTGCCTGGTCTAAGAGCAGGGAAGTTTTTATAACATAAAAAGTTACAAAAATAGATGTCTAGGCAGCTTACAGCTGACAGGGTCCTGGGAGGCATAATGCAAAGGCAGATAGCAGGTTAATAATCCACATGTCTTAACATCTCAAGGTAGGGAGTAAACTCAGATTCCACCATCAGAATTAATGAGGAGCAGCTGAGATTTTTAGGAAGGGTTGTTATCTGGTGATGGAGAGCCAGGCATAAGTAAGTTCAAAGCTTGGGCAGGAGTTCCAAGCAAGTTTAAAACA